TCAACGGTTTCGTCAGGATCGTCATTTGACGAAACCTTTCGTCAATTCAAAAATAGTTTCGTCAAGCATCTTTAATCCAGACCTTGTGAAGCATTTAACATCCCTACCTGGAAACATTCACAGGTAGAACAATAAATCTTTTCAACAAGTATTCTTTCAAAAATTCTTGGTGTGATATGCAATCTTTCTAAACATTTGCTAACCTTTTATATTACATATGAAAGAGATACGGAAAGAAATTCAATAATAAAGAAAAATATTTGAAAAAGTTGCATTTCGCACCAATTATTTTTGAAAGAATACTTGTGAAAAGGTTTATTTTTCTAATTGTTCTACCTGTGATTTTACACAAAATATTTAATTTCATTGAATATAATATTATGTACTAATCTAATCTTGACTATTCACGAATTTTGAGCCGAATCTCCATTTTTTTTATCCGTGGATATTCGCAGATCCCACCTCTACTGTTTAGTTTATTCCCAAATCAAACATACATGTATGAAATTGATGTCAAAAGGGATAAGAACATTTTTTATTGATCTCGATGGTGTAATTAGATGAGTGCGCGAAAAACTTGAACCTTTTCTTTTGAAGAATTGATCACAGATCACGAAAATTATGTTTTTATAAAATTTAGAATAATGAATAAAATGATTTATAAAGAAGATTTTAGAACTAAAAAAATTATTTATAACCTTGCTTTAGGCCAAAATGTTGTTTTTTAATCATTATCACAAGATAATAAAAAAAAAAGTAATATCATAAATATAACACCAACATGAAACTTCAAGGCTTTTACGTTTTTACCACAATTATTATGTGTTTATACATGACATTTGTTCTGAACGTTGAAGGTAAAGTTCTTAATTTATATTCAGTATTTCTCCGCATTCTTTTCTAATAATTCGACATTTTGGTTTAATATATAGCATGGCAGGTCAAAGTAGATTTGGATATGAAGCGGGGTTTTGGCTGGTGTAGAATTTGGGTAGAAGATGCAGCATAGGTGGTGACGGAAAAGGAAAATATCATAATTGCGATAAATCAGGAGAGGACGTTGAAGTAATTGATATTGCAGATCAGGAGTACTATGTAGTTGGGAAAGGTTATGGGACTACGGAGCAAGAGAAATATCGAGGTCCTTTCAATGAAAGTATCTGTTTTCGTATACATGGAATAGAAACAAATTTCTATTTTGATCAAACTTCCTGTAATTTTTAACTGTTTGCTTAAAAAGTTTCTAGATAGGACCTTTTTACTAATAAAAAACGTAATAGTTTTGATAATTAAAGTGATCAATAAAAAGGTCCTGTCCAGGGACTTATTCCCCAGTTTTTATTTATACTTCCGTACTATCTTTTTGATTATTTATTTTTTTTTACTTTTTTATTGTTATAACGAATTGGGATTTATTTTAGCACTATGATGCTAGCCAATTAAAATTTAAGATTGTGTAACATGCAGATCAATTTTAATTAAAAAAACCATTATAATAAAAAAAATTCTTTAAAATTTTAGTTTAAACTATACTATACTATTGTTTTGATTTACATGTTATACCAATCTTGTATTTACATATAAGGTACTATAATAATATTTACTAACGAATTTTTTTTAAATTATTGAAATTGTTAACTAAAAGTAAAAATTGTTTGCCAAAGAAAAACAAGGGGTAGAAGAAAATACAAGAAGTTTTGTAATTATAGTAAGGATAAACTTTATGAAATGCATAACTTTAATTTTAAAAAAATAGTACGAAAGTATAATAAGAACCGGGAGAATAAATCAGTTATTGCCCGCTTTAACTATAACTTATCAAACACCCGGTATGTACAGTACTATTCCCTAATTCGTTTCAATCAATTTTGACGTCAATAATGTTATATTTTGCTTTTCTAACTCTCATAGATCCATTATGATACTAATTGAACACATTGGTGGACAAAGTACATATTTTGCAGCTTTTCGGTATGTACACCATATTTATTATGATGACGTTTATTTATTTCACACTAAAATCGCAGCGTCAATCATCTTAACATGGTCAAAAAATCCGCCCAATATAATAATATTTTAAATTTCTACTTACAAGTCAGGACTATGGGATATTTTATTTTTGATTCCATCATTTCACACAAATCCAACTTAAAATATTTGGGAGTTTCTAAACAATCAAGATTGTGCAAGATAGCCAAAGAATTTTTACAATTTCAAACACTACTGTCATTAGTGTGTATGCTTTTGCTACGTAATAATATTAAAGCCAGAAGGTCAATGTTTTGTATTATCAGAGTCATGTAATTTATCAATAATTCATTGTAAATAAACTGTACGCCAATGGCGTCCCACATCCTCATGCCAAGGGTTCTCAAAAAAAATTTATTTACGATTGAAATATTTTAATTTTTAAATTAGTTTAATTGAATTTATTTTTGATACCTATTTAAATAACATTATTTTAGCCAAATTAGAGTGCCCAATTGCTTTTTGATTTTCATACAAATTTTTCTTAATTATAATGATTTTTATTCCCGATACTTATATTGAAATGATACGATTCGAGTTGTTAATCTGTGAGCAATTGGGAATTTATATTGACACTATCGGAAAAGTATCATGACTTTATTAGACCACACAGTTGTTTATTTATATAAGTTTTGAATATAAACTGACAATATTTTATTCTTATATGTTCAGAATTCACAAGGAAATTCTGGCTAATTCACAAGGAATTTCTGGTTAAAATACGGAAGGCAGTATATGTAAGAATTTCTCAAATATTTATAAAAAAAATGGCAAATAAATTTTTACACAATACAAATCAATGGAACTAACCTGTATTTTTGTTCACGACAAAAGTTTCTAATTCCTCAACTACAAAGTTATTTGCATCTAAAATCTTATTTTCATATTGATTTTGTGCGCAAGAACCATTCTCACCATTTAGCAATAGATCTGAATTTCCAAAATTCATCCAATATCCGTTGTAACTATAAATTGCGTATGAGGAATTTTTAACACGACTAAGTATACGAGTATCAGAACCTTCATTTCCGAA